TATTATTACTTGAATTAATTCATAGGATTAGGTACATATACAGGTAATATTTGTATATTTAATATACAGTAGTATGTACAAGTCTATTATCATAATATGAACTACCAACTTGTTTCTATGTACACACAAAAACCCAATCAGCCCACTTATCTTGGTTTACTCCTTGCGTATTACCCTATTCCCAAATGGCACAAATAAGGCCTAAGAAAGAGTGTATATAGTATTAGTATACTGATTTCTCTTTGCAGTGCTGACAATATTTATAATACTAAAAGTGGACAGGAGAAATCACCTCATCAATTATATTACAGTAAACATAAATTTTATGTTTTGAATGCTAACACTGCACATAATACAGTGGCTAGAACACTGTAAATTAAGTCAATTATATTATAAATAAATATACAGAATATTCAACCCAAACTAACCTGACAGATTCATCACTGAATTACATAAATTTTTGTATCTTGTTAGGTCATATTTTGTTTAAAAAATTCTTCAAATATAAATAAATAAAAGCTGCTGTACATACATTCTAATTTTACACTACACATAAAAACAAATAATTTTCAAAATCAATGGATGGTGGAAAACTAAAAAAGAAGATCTTCTTCCTCACTGTTATCATCAAAAATGTTTCCTTGTGCTACTGCTATTGCTATTGCTGCTTCTGCTTCTGCTGCTGCTGCATCTGCTTCTTCATCATCCACATTTTTCAGTCTATCAGCTTTCTTTGCGGATAACTTTTCACGTTCTGCCTTGTCCCTGATTATCTTTTTCTTCTCTTGAATCTTCTTCAAGCGATAAAACTCTTCACGCTCGTATTCATCAAGTTCGGAAATGATGTATGCCAGTGTGCGCTCGTACCGTGGAATGATGACTGAGGGACAACATCAATCAATTACAATGAATCATAACAGTTCATATTAAACTGAATATAATGCTATAACACTGTACTGTACATCAAATGGTTATACTATACATGAATTACTAACACTCTGTATGATATTAATGTTCGCTAATTATGTTTTTTAGGAAAATGGCCTTAATGGGAAGTAAAAAAATTCAAGTATGAATATCAAATGTTTAAATCTTCACCATAATAGAAAACAATCACAAGTTATAATAGTTATCACTGATTATGTAAAACCCAGAGTCAAATAAAGAATGTCAAAATATTTTTTTATTCAAAGATCAAACTTGTATATGAAACAATGCATTATTAGAAACATGAAGAAGCACTAAACCTGTAATGGTCATACTGCACCTGGGAAATGGAAGGTAATTAGATTTAATCAGAGGAGGTGGAAGGTAGCTCCAATTCCTTGGATCAAAAACCCTTTACCAGCCTCCAAACAGTCTTATCTAAGAATGATATGACAAGCTGTATATCTTGTGCCCTTATTAAACCTTTCTTACATATAATCCTTCACATGCTCTATTCATGATTTAGGTTATCTCCCCATTATAGATGAACAACATCATGGGTTTGTTGCTAGATTAAAGTTCTCGAGTATTTTATAAGAGCCAGCAAACTGCTGGCTTCAAAACAAAACTTACCACCAACAAGAGCAGATAATGTTCATAACTTTAAGTGGGGGAAGAACAAAGATGTGACAACAATGTAGTTTTTGCAATTTCTGTTCTATGTAAATAGCTTCGGACTGCAATTCTAAAACACTCAATTGAACTTTTCCAGCCTGTTTTAGAATAACAAATTTAATTTAATTAACCAATTTATTAGGTACCAACACCTCAAAAATCTGAAAAATAATAGTAATCTATCACATGTTTTGGAAGGTGAAGAAAGAACACATTTTAGTTTTTTCTTCTGGTAAACTGAACTGTGGATCTAATAAACCATACCGCGGGGTTTGGGGTTTAAACCCTGGGGTTTCAAAGAGTCTAAAAACTCCAAAACCCGTAAATTTGGGCCACGGGCCCAAAGCTGCTTCAATAAATTTTGCCCAAACTAGGGGGAATTTTTTCTGAAAAAACTTGCATTTGTGGAACAGTGGCCCTATCCCCAAAACCCTTCCTTGGGTTGTAAAAAATATACCTATTTGGCCCGAATCTTTTTGAACTGGCTGGCCCAGTGGTTTAATGCGACAGTTTTGGAGTTTTGAGCCCTCCGGGGACTGGGGTTTAAACCCCACTGGGGTAGGGTTTTGTTTGCAATCGTGTCTTTTCGTTTTCGTGAGTCATGGATCTAATCTTTGCCCCTTAAGTCCCCAAAAAACCGGGGGCCCCAAATATTTTAAAACTTTTCCCAAATCCCCAAAATAGGGCACTCTCTGCTTCAACCGCAAAAACCTTTTCATCTCAAAGAAACTGCAAAAACCTGCAAATTTTTAAGTAGAAAGATTATTAAAATTTGTATACCTGGAGAAGGTTCCGGGGGTCAACCCCCCCCAAAGGCCCAGTCGTGACCAGACAGGAACTATTTTCCCATTTATAACAGCAAAAAACATATTTAAACCCCCAGCCAATTTGGATTTGGGAAAAAAAAAAGCACTAATGATGCAATCATAAAAATGCTAGACCCGCTTTACCAGCTTTGGGGGAAAATAAGGAATACCCACTAGGAATTTTTATTGACCTAAGAAAAGCTTTTGACACATTTAAGCCCACGACTTTCCTACTCCAAAAAACTTACCTTTAATGGTATAAGGGGCCATGCGCTTGTTTTTTTTCAAATTTCCCTTTACTAATGGGTATCAGTATGTTACCTTTAAAAGACCCGCATCACAACACACCATTTTGTTTACTGGATTTTCCCCCAGGGAAGTGCCCTTTGGGTCCCCTGCCCTTCCTCAATACTAAATGATCTTCCAAACGTATCCCAACACCTGAAACCCATTCTCTTTGCTGCGACACATTTTCTGGAGTTTACCTGGGGAGAGTTCCGGGGGTCAACGCCCCCGGGGCCCGGTCTGTGACCAGGCCCCCGGGTTTGGATCAGGGGCCGGTTTAAACCCAGGCTGTTGCTGGGGCTGCACGCAAACCAACGTACGAGCCACACCCCGGTGATCGGGAACTGATTTAGGTGTTGGGCCCAAAGTGCCAGTTTGAAGACTGCCGGGGTCTGTTGGAAAACCCCCCCCCTTATTTTGTGCTGGGGGGCAGTTGAATTTTTTTCGGGCCCCTGACCCCTTTTTGTAGGGTCTCTTAACGTGCTATTGACCCCCCCTGTTTTTCTTTGGGGGGGAAATGGTGCATTTCTGCCAATTTTCCTTTTTGGCCTTTAAAGGTGATTGATTTTCGTGTGAAAAATTTTCGGTTTCTAGTACCTCTAGGATTTTCCGGGTGTATATAATCTGTATCTTTCCCCCCCCGGCGTTCCGGGGAATACGGGTTTTAAGGGAAAACCCAAAAAGCGCCCCCAAAAAATTTGGGGGTGTTTTATCCCCTTTTATGCGCCCCGGGGAAAGTTCTCTGAAAATTTTTTTGGGTTTGGGGAAATTTCACCTGCCTTGAAAGGTGCTTTTATGTGCACAATTTTCCCAGCCTAGTTTGAACAAGGCCCTTTAAAAGAGGTATCACGGGGGCCCCCTATTTTGAAGGTTCTCTTTATCCATCCTGTCATTTTTCTGCAGATGGATTGATCCAATGTTATGGTCCCTTTAAGGTGAGATCCCCCCGACTGATCCTCCCCCGGTCTTTGACGTTTGGGGTTTCCTCTATTTTGTGGCCGAATTTGTTTTGTATCTGATGAAAATTTAAATTTTCCCCTTTTTTACCCTTTCTGAGTAATTGAAATTTTTTATCTTTAACTTTATAAGTTTTTTTGCGGCCCACTGAAAAAATTTAGTTGATGTCCGCCTGGAGTTTGCAGTGTCTGCCCTGGAAAACATGTCAAGCAGATTTGGTGTCACTGCAAAGGGAAAACACCGGGGCTGTGGCTGACATCCTTGTTAGTGGAAATTTAGGATGGGAACAAGATGGGAGCGAGTCTTTTGGGCCCTTTTGGAACAAAAGCTTTTTTCACCCCTAGCTGCCTCGGACTTTACTCTGTTGACGCTACCCTGGGTTCGTTAGTGAGGAAATTATAGATCCATCGACCACTTTTTTCCGTTATTTCCCTTTTGCACGCCGGGGTTTTTGCGCTATTTTCGCCCTGGGGCCAAATTGTCCCAAGGCTTTGCAAAATCTGTTATATTACATCTGCATTTTTTTGTCTTCTAGTGCTTTTTGGACCCTTTTCGTAAATTTATCCAAAAAGTTGAGGGCAGACAGGGGCGACCTGTTTTTAAAAAACCCCCGTTGCCGGGTTTTTGTAACTTTGGGTTTCAGATGGGTGGTGATCTTGCTTCTTAGAACCCTTTTAAAGTTTTTTTTGTTATGGGATGTTAGTGCTATTGGCCCGTAGGGTTTTTTTCTGTTGCTTTTTCTTTCCCCCCTTTTTTGGAGTGGGACTAAAAAAAAAAAAAAAAAAACGTTGTTTTTTGTAACGGGGGCGACCCCCCCTGTCCATGCCCCCTCTCCCCTGGATGGGAAAAAGGGTCGTGATAGGGGGTTCTTGCATTCTTGATGAAAACAGTTCCATGAGTTTTGGCCCTGGGGCAGAGTCATGGGGATTCCCTTTTCGCCTGTTTTGAAGTCATCTTTTCCAAACCCCAATCTTGCCACCCCCAACACCATTTTTAACGAGGAGTGATCAAAAATCGGACTTGGAGCAGCCAAAAAAATTACGCCCAAACAAAAAAAAATGCAAAACCTACCTTTTATTTATGTTTGGTAGCAGAGCAGGAAAATGCACAAATTAACATTTAAAATCGCCCAAAACTTTTAATTACCAACATAATGAGGGGAAATTCCCAAGGCCCATACCTTGGGCAACAAACCTGAATTTCGCACCCATATCCCCAAAACATAAAAACCCAAAAAAATTTTTCCCAAAAAAGGTTTTGGGGTCCTCCCAAGAAAAACGATACTACGTGCCGCAAAAAAGCCTTCTCACACTATAACCCCCCACTTATTTATCCATACCTCACCCATGCTATTGGCTTGGGGGTCAAAATGCAGGGAACACAAACCCAAAGCCAAAAATAACCCAACAAAAAACGCAGTAAGAATAAACACTAAATCCCCTTTCCCCGGCAACACACCCCCCCCTTTCATAGATCAAACTTACTTCCCCGTTTAGTACATCCCCACTTACTATGTCAACTACATTTTACAGGACCTTAAACTCCAATATCAAAACCCTTTACCTAAAAAGCTTTCTTTATAGTTGTTACAGAACCCACAGGCATAACACCAGACACAAACATCTCTACGACATTCCCCGTGTCCGACTAAACCTTTACAAAAATTCAATGTATGTCAAAGGCCCTAAAATCTGGAACACCCTACCTGAGAACTCTAGAACTGCAGACACATTCATCACCTTCAAAACTACCATTAGAAAACATCTTATCTCCCTGATACACCCCATCAACTAACTACACGAATACCACTTGGTGGTTCATACTTACACTCACTCACCCATTTGACCATAAACAGAAATATTTATCTCAATCTTAAAATAATGAATCCTATGATACTCCAATACTGAAACTATGTACTGTGTCAAAACAAAAGCATTCACATTGCTAAACTCACAAACTAGTATTTAGTCACTTAGCCATAATACCAACTTACCTCATAATTTGTAATATTTTAAAATAAAGAATTAAACTAAGTCTGCCCGAAATGCCTAGCCATGCTAGGCGTTCTAGTGGTACACTCTGTAATCATTATTTAACTACATGTAAACCACACAACAACCAAATTCTGTAAATTCAACATTGTAATCTTTATAGAGAATAAACTTTGAATTTGAATTTGAATGGTGGATCAGGGCCTGATCAACCAGGCTGCTACTGTTGGCCGCACACAAACCAACGTACGAACCACAGCCCGGCTAGTCAGGTACTGACTTTAGGTGTTTGTCCAGTGCCTGCTTGAAGACAGCCAGGGGTCTATTGGAAATCCCCCTTATATATGCTCAGAGGCAGTTGAACAGTCTTGGGCTCCTGACACTTATTGTGTTGTCTCTTATTGTGCTAGTGGCACTGCTGCTTTTCAGTGGGGGAATGTTGTATCGTCTGCCAAGTCTTTTGCTTTCATAGGGAGCGATTTTCATGTGCAAGTTTGGTACTAATCCCTCTAGGATTTTCCAAGTGTATATGATCGTATATCTCTCCCACCTGCATTCTAGGGAGTACAGGTTTAGGAACTTCAAGCATTCCCAGTAATTGAGGTGTTTTATCACAGTTATATGTGCCGTGAAGGTTCTCCGTACATTTTCTAGGTCAGCAATTTCACCTTCCTTGAAAGGTGCTGTTAGTGTGCAGCAATATTTCAGCCTAGATAGAACAAGTGACCTGAAGAGTGTCATCATTGGCTTGGCATCCCTAGTTTTGAAGGTTCTCATTATCCATCCTGTCAGTTTCCTAATAGATGTGATTGATACAATTTTATGGTCTTTGAAGGTGAGATTTTCCGACATTATCACTCCCAGGTCTTTTACCTAAGTTTTTTGCTCTATTGTGTGGTTGGAATTTGCTTTATAGCCAACAAATTTAAATCTCTGTATGGTCTGCCATCGTACTACTGCCATATTTTTTTTTAGACATGCACATGTCATTACATGTTCATGTTTTACTCCTATAGTTCAGGCTAAAGAAAAAATATTCTGCCATGTAATCTGTAATACACATGTAGTAACACTCAAACCATCCATAATCACTAAGTCAATTTTCTTCCCCGCAATACTTTTTATCTTATTTCTGACGTGCATAATTACTAAAACTTATTAACTTAAACCATATATTATATTCTTACCATGTTCTATGGCATTTACTCGGCGGTTAGTCGTCTTGACTGCAATGTCGAGAATTACAAATGAAGCCTGGAGTGTGGCTAGCTCAATCAGCAACTCAATAGCACGTTTGTAATTCATCTTGAGCTTTCCCATCTGCTGACCACCACGGGACAGTCCAGTCAACTCATATGTATCAATTCCATCTTCAAAGCTTTCAAATACAGGAAGATGAACACCTGGAAGAATACAAAATTCAGTGTTGCTGCAATTAAAAATTTCACTGCAACTCAAATTGCTACTCTCCATGCGAATCTTTTAGAAGGTGAAAGATTTGCATTTTGAAGGAAAATGTTTTCTTCAAAATGAATAACTTTTTAATCTTTTGGTACATTACTATATCAGTACACAAATAACCCGCACACAGGAAGGAAATTTATGACAATGTTTTAGTCCGATTTGGACTATTAACTAGTCATTACCTCATCAGCAAAAGAAGGGAATGTATGAAAGTATAGTAGTACCAACACTCTTATATGGGTGTGAAGCTTGGGTGGTAAATGCAGCAGCGAGGAGACGGTTGGAGGCAGTGATGTCCTGTTTAAGGGCAATGTGTGGTGTAAATATTATGCAGAAAATTCGGAGTGTGGAAATTAGGAGAAGGTGTGGAGTTAATAAAAGTATTAGTCAGAGGGCAGAAGGGGGTTGTTGAGGTGGTTTGGTTTTAAAAAA